CTTGCCCATTTTTCTGCTGGCCAGACTGCAACCTTATCAAACTTTAATAACAAATGTCCTCAGCAACAAATCTTCACTCAGCTGTGTATCTGTATATTTACTATCCTTTTTCCCATGCAACTTTCCACCTCTTCAATTGTTCTCACATATAATGTGAAAAAAAAAGGAAAAACCAAAACCAAAAAAGGAGGTGCACTGACCAGATAGTAAAAATAATGGATCTGAAGAAGTTGTGAGGATTTGACAGTGGTGCTGTGATGGAAAGGGGACGAAAAATGTCTTGCTTGTTTCATCCCACATTTTTCCAGTATTTCTAGTCTGAAATATTAATTTTGATCTCCACAGTGCATACTCAGCCCTCACAAAATCTTATTTTCACATGCYCTTCCTCACTATTTTCATTACTATGAAAATATCTTCCCTGAGCTACATTCACAGTTCAGTACTGCTGCGTCTCCTGAAACATCCCTAATGCTATCTCTGTGCTGAACTGAATTTTGTTCCCCTGCATGTTTTCTCACCCAGTGATTTCAGGTTCTACACTTACTGTGCATTCCCATCCCTCTTCTGTGGCTCATCTCCAGTGTCTCATATGTGATTACACCAGCTCTCACACATCTGGTCCTTCCCTTGACCCTATTTAAGGTGACAGTTACTTATCTTCATTTGTGCAAAAGCAATGTTTTTGAGTTCCCATTAGAAAAAGGTAATGGTGGAAGGAAGAAATATTTTCAGAGAGGAGCAGTCAGGCAAGCTGGGTGTTACAGCAAGGTAGAGCAGGGAGGAGGACGGATTGAGTGCCTGCAGGGTGACCCTGAGGATCCAGGCTGGTCCCAAGGACCCACTGCAGCTAAAGGCTACTGACACCAGCAGCAGCCTCTGTGTGCCCACCCTCAGGGACTGCGGGATGTGTGGAGCTGTTGTTCTGCTGATGACCCCCACGAGTACTCAGGACAGCCTGAACGCCCCTCTGATGCCACAGAACTGTGACATGTTTGATGTAGACTGGAGTGATACAGCCTTGACAGATCTGGAGCTACACAGAGACAACAAGAAATCACTGCAGTACAGGGAACTGAACTGTGGAGATGCAGGTCCAGGTCTCCAGTCAGATGCAGTTTCTTGCATAATTCTGGAAATCTACTGACTTTTTGTTTATTGCTTTTAACTGGAAACACACGGTTTGGGTGAGGCAACTTCCACAGAGTTGGGACAGAAGAAAGAGGTTGGCAACAGAGCAGGAGCTCCCCTTGGTTGCATATAACCTTGTCCCAGGGTCAGCTCAACCACAGGAAGCTTGTAGGAGAGCTTGCAGCAGTTATGAATCTGCCTGACAATAATTACTTTAAAACCAGTGATCACTCTGCTTTCATTTCACCAAATTAACAGGAGTTTTATATACTTCAGGTTTTTTGCGTTTGCTGATTCATACTCAGTGAAGATAATTAGCGGGCATCTCTATTAGCAATACAGAACCCCTCCTGTGTAAGCCCCTTTCATGTGACTCGTCCCATTAGCCTTTTTTTCATGGCTTTTATTTGCTACTAAAGGAACAGCACATGTGAAGTGATGTTTGGGATTTAGAGTATTATAACAGCTGACTGCTACGTGCCGATTTTTTAAAACTAAGTCTGAGAAAATCAGAGTGCATGAAACCAAATTGCAAAGATTCTGAGAAGAGGCACACTAATCCTCTACAAAGGAATGGCTACTGGTAGATTAAGTCATTAGACTTCATGCACACTGTTCAGAAAAGACAGCTGTGGTCACATCACTAGGCAGGCTTTCATATGATGATTTAAAGAATCTGCTTCAACTGCATGGCAGGTGGGAAACACTCTCCTCAGACTCAATCTTGCTACCTAAAACATAGCTTTGCAGTCAAACTGCAGAGAAGTAAATGTAACTAAGATTGTCAAATTAGGAGCTCAAAAGTTAGGAAATGCCAGACTAAGTTTCCTTTTCTGAGTCACGCTCTTCGCCTCCTGCCTTGCCCTATGGGCAGAGCACACAGTGCAACATGGGTCAGTGTTAACTGAATCACCTCAGACCTCCACTGAAAAACGTTCAATTAAAAGAAAAAAAAAAAAAAAAAAAAAAAAAAAAAAAAGCACCCTGGTGGATTATTCTACAGCATTCAATGTTTTCTTCAGATACATCACAAATAATGATTTTGAGAATACCTGTAAAGTGAGACATACATATAGATCTGATTTCCTATTTTGAGATTGAAARTGTCTAAGAAATACAAATGTTGTGTTTGAGAAATTTCAGAATGAGCTTTAAACCTCCTTTTGTATCATGCTTCAAATATTTGAGACTCTGCTCCCAGTGTTCAGTTACAATTGTTTGTTCTCAGCACACTTAACTGGGAACACGTAAAACTAAGTATCAGTAGAAGATAATTTGAATGATGTCACAACTACAACAGGAAAACTTTTAAGACAGAAGGAAGTACATAATAAAATTTTAAATAAATATGATGAGACTTGTTTTCCTTGGGTATTTGTGTTCCACTCATTGCTTACAGAAGTCAGAAGCACTCTCTCCTCTAGTATGCTGTGCAGTTTGAGCCTCAGCTTTGGAGCAAATGAGGTATGGATAGAAAATGTGCAAAAGAGCACATGATAATAATTGTTTTATAATGAAGTCATAAGAAAATCAAATTATGTCATGCACACAGGCTTGACTTTTGTAATTTTGACTTCGAAGGTGTAGCAACATTTTAACTGTCTGATGAGTTTGTAACATTTTATTCTAAATTAAAAAAGACCCCCAAACCAGAAAGAAAATCCACTGTATGACATCCTAATTGTATTTATGAGTGATTAGCAGATCTGCAACTGTTAGCTTTGGCATATAGATCTGATTCTTAATTAAAACCATAAATGGCAAATAGCAGTCTAGTTTTATTACAAGCTGAGCCTGGAGCAGAGAAATAAGGGCAATGTGACAAAAGGCTTCACAAATATTTCCTGACAATGAAGAAGATCAAGCTTGCAGCTCTGCGGGGAAGCCTGCTCCCTTGTGAGCCTATGTTTCTTAGGGACAGCTACTGTCCTGTCCATAATTATATCACTTTTCCTTTTCTTGGCTATCATTCTCCCTGTTGCTCCCTCTCTTTGCACTTAACTCCTGATCCCATGAACAAATCATCCAGCCAAGCAAACTCAGCTTTCAATGTTCTGTATGGACCTCCTGCTTCACAAACCTCACTTCCTCCCCTGAAGATCCTCTACAAATCTCTCTCTATTGCTCCTCTTCTCCATCGCTGTTTTCCATTTGCCTGTGTTCTTTATTCTTCCGTCTATCTGCATTCCTATGTGTTTTAGCTTCTTGTGATACTCCCCAGAAATTTCTTTAATATTAGTTTTCTTCACATACCCAGACATCATTCCATGTACTATCTTCATCTTTCTCTACCATTTTTTTCTTAGTTTCCATCTCTTMAACAAGTTTCTGCCATCTTCCATACCAGTTGGCCCCACTCTGCTCCCAATCTCCTCTACTGCCATCTAACCAGTTTCATTTTGCTATCACAGAATAGCATTTTGAGGGCAATCCTCGCCATGCTAGTCTGTTTTGTTTCTCCTCACCCTCAAATGAAGAAAAAAACAGGGCTTACATTGTTTCACCATGTTTTCCAATTTGTTCAGATAAAGCAACATCTTAACAGGTGCCAATGAAATAGACAGTTTTAAGACTAAGCAACACCACATCAAAAGAGTTAGTGACATTGTTGGCCCCGAAATCTTGTGCACATGAAAAATGAAAAAAATTCTATTGTCCCAGGATTGTCAGCTTGAATTTTACAGCAAACCTTGTTTTAAAATAGTGAAAAATGTTCTGACAAATTAAAATTCTGTATCCAGTGTGCAATGTCTCCCTTTGGTCACCCGATGACCACATTGCAGGTGATGACTTGTCATTGATAAAGATCCTTTGCAGAGGGTGGCTGTCACAACTTCGTCAGCCTTCCCAGATGAAGAGGAGATTATCCCCTTTGATTTCAAGTAAGCTGAATTTGGGCAGTCACCCCAAAAGATGTGACTCAGTCAGAATGTACTGGGCAGCAGGGATCAGCTGAGCAAGAGGGAAGGAGATGTAGAAGAAAACAAACAAAAAGCAAAGCCAGTGACAGGAGTTGCAGTGGGAGGGATGTGAAAGTGGGTGTGTAATTGTGGCAGATGGGGACAGAATATGAGATAGGAACTTGACGAAAAGGAAGGGAAACTAGGGAATTAACCTGCTTTTTCACTTCTAGTACTACATCTGATACCAGACCTGTTAATATGCTGCAAAACTGTCTCAGTGTGACTCATGAGCACAACTGTTCATAGACATCGGCTTTACCAACACACTGAGTGGTGTGTCCCTTGGTCACTTTTACCATTGTCTAGCCTTGATCCACTTCCCCAGTGGCTGGCTCTAGCCAAGAATCCATGCACTCACTGCACAGCTCTGCCAACAGAATGGCTGGYAGGTGACCAGTGAGACAACCTTTGAGAAAAGAATTCACCTTTTTTGCTACAGCTGTTCTGTGTATCATGTTTATAAAGTTCACCCATTTCTGTGTACCCAAATTTTAGTTGTAGGGAGTTACCAGCTCCCTGGCCAAGTGGTTACAATCAGATATCAGACTTCCTCACAGCCAACCAACACATTTCATCACCTCTGGATGGTGAAAAATCACTTGAATGTTTTTATGGTGGTGATGCTACAGTTTCATGACATGATCTTATAGTATAGCATAGCACAGCAACATAGCAATTAGAAAATATTTTCCTTAAAATATATTCCATGTGTTGTTTCTCCTCTAAAAAACTAGCTGTGAGATACTCTCCATTATTACAAGCCCAAAAAATAACTAGCAATTTGCCTGCTCACAACTACATTCCATTCTGTCAACATCAGAAAATAATCAAGAAGACTAAAAGGTACGCATTCAGTTTTAAAGCATAAAATTTTGGGTTCTAGAAAATATATTTCTAGCAACTTACTTTCACTGGCTGAATAGTCCTGTGGATCAAGTATCCCTGATTCCTGCAGTGATCTAATACAGGAGTCCACCAGCTCCAAACCAGTGGTGAGTTCATCTTCTATATCCTTCTGACCATCTGTAATACAATTAACAACATAAAAATGTAAAAGAAGGGCAAAAGGTAAAACCACTTACAAGWCAAAAGCTAAAACTAGTTATATAATTATATATAAGTTTATATATATATAAAACTGGTGACTAAGCACTCACAGCCGATGAAGGAATGGAGGCYACACATTCTCAGGAGAATGGCCATACTGAAAAATGTGCCATCCTCTGAAAGTGAGCCCTTGGATTAATAAAAGCAAAATGAGAATATTTACTTCTAGTCTTAAAAAAAGCCAGACACATTTAACAATGCCCTCTCTCAAAACTCTATGTTAGTTTCAGTGTTCTTTTTGTGAACCGTAACAATTTTAATTGTTAAATTCTACTTTTTTAAGTAGAATTTTCACACATTAGCAAYGAGAAAAAAAACAACAAAAAACCCAACAAAAACTTCCACATACATAAATGTGKTTTCCCCCCCATCTTCTTTAGGTAAAAATGATCATTCTGTGAGAGAATATAATACATAYATGTAGACAAGTACATTACCTTGTGTTTGCCAGTGAAACTGCTCTTCTGTTGAACTGGAAAGAGAAAGAAAAAAGTGATCATTTTAAATTAAATTGTTCAGTAGTGCATCATGAATATTCAGATATAAGTCTGTTCTGAAGGAACTGATTAACTAGAAGAACAGACTTAAGAATAAATAACAAAGCTAGAATACGCAATTTTATGTATTTTCTAATTAATGACTTGTCCAGCATTCACTCAGCTGGAGGGAAGAATCTTTATTTCTTTATCAAGTAATTTGAATCACACATGTAGWAATTGCCCTCATGGTCTTGATATACAAACACTATTTCAAAGCAAGAACATTGGCATTCTTCAACTTTTCTAGATCCTTCCATTTGCCTGATTCTCCATTTTTATAGAGAAAATTATAAATTGCTTTTTCAAATGAAGAGTTACATGTGATTTCTAAAAGAAATTGTGATTCCTGGTTCTACAGATCATTTTGTGCATTTTTATATTATTCAAATGTGCAGCTAAGTTAATTCAATTGGCCTACACAAAAGAATAAATTTAGACTGTTTGTGCTTCTATGTACAAGCACTTAAGCAACAGAAGGTCTTAATTTTAAAATAATGAGTATGCACACTGGAGGATGGGTTAGGTAGGGTTTTTTTTTCAATAAAATGAACAATATATTCAAATGAATGATAAAATGAATTGTATATTCATTTAGGCAATGACTGCACTTTCCTCCAAGGCATGTTCTGTTTATGCTTCAATATAGGTCTTTCCCACATGACAAGAATACAAAAAGGATTGAAGCTACTCGGTACTAACCATTCTTTTGATAACAATGAACTGATTATCACACTCATGATTAAAAGATTTTTCTGTACATTTTTATAAGATAAGRGGAGAACAATGTTATCTGTTGCATCCATCAGTTAAAAAACAAAGACTGAAATTATTTTAACTTTTCAAATGATTACATTTATTTCTTTCAGATTTTGAGAATAAATGCTTTTTTGGATGAGCAAATGGATGCAAATCTCTAATTGTTTTCCCTTTTCCCTATAGATGTTGATCACTTATCAATACGYCAATATACCTCCTACTATCTCTTTTCTGAGCAGTAATAATGTAAATGAAATTACTGCTTCTTTTGGAGTTCTATTTTTACAGTAAAGACTTGTGTCAATTATTTACCAGATTTGATAGTGCTAAAAAAAAAAAAAAAAAAAAAAAAAAAAAAAAAAAAAAAAAAAAAAGAAGCTAATTTACATAAAAATAGCTCTAAAAGGACTTTTAATTTCTACCTGGCATCATAAATGTTAATCTGACAAGTTCAAACCAATACATCTTCATCATATCTACAGTCTGTGATTTATATTGATTCACTGTAGTGAGGTCTTATAGATTAAGAAGCCAGTCCTTTGATGAGATAGTGAACTAAAATGCTTGCATTCAAGTTCACTGAAATTAACAATATCGAAGATAAACAGTGCCAAAGTCCTCAGACAAAMAATAACTGCAAAGTGCTGAACTGGAAGAAAATACTTTAATTTAAATTACCTTTTGAAAGGGAGCCCTAGTGGTGACTAGGGACAATGGTTCTTTTTGAAATTACACTTTTTCCCATTTTAAAATCCTTTTGTCTGATTTTCAGATTTACTAAATAATTGCAGCTTCATCTGRCACACTGGGACTTGAGAGCAATCTWCCCTTCWGTAATTAGTACAATCCATAATAAGTAATATATTACTTTCCACTCTAGAGTCCCTCTTTCAATATCCAGATTTCTATGTGATAGATATTACCTCATCTGCCAAAAAAAAAAAGTAATATCTCAGCTGGCATTCTTGCTGGCACAAAGAATTAATAGATGTTGCTGGCAAGAGTACGATGATGTAAAAGCCTACGCCACCTCATCCAAATAAGTTAGAAAAGAAAATCAAATTTCTGCATAAAGAGTGAATTATCATTTCCAGGAATTCTAACTCAGCCCTTTTTAAGTAGCAAACTTGTACAAAATGTAACAAAATTCATTATGTTCAATTAATCACTTGTGGTTGATTTGTAGAAATCCCCAGTATCACTTGTCTGACTTCCACAGAAGCACTGCACTGTATTCAAATTAATCTTAGGATGCCAACAAATTCCAACTACATTTTGGCTTTTCCARTTTTAGTCATGCTTCTCCTCACCACTGCTTTAATGGTCTTTCAATAAATAATGTAGCTCTCAGAGTCCAGACAGCAGAGCCACCATCAGAATTTTTATCCTAATACTCMCTTCTTATTCAAYAAGCRGAATTTGAACCAGGGCSCSCAGGGCAGGRGTGGACTCACCATCCCTGGAGTATTTAAAAGATGTGTAGATGTGACACCTGGGACATGGTTTAGTGGTGAACTTGGCAGTGCTGGGTGAAGGTTGGACTCRATGGTCAATAAAAGTCTTTTCCAACCTAAAARATTCTATGATTCTCTATTAAAAYTGTATTTGCCCCTACAGRGATATCAATATATWCTGGTATGAAAAGAGKGCTGTTTTCCTTAGTTGAATTCATGTTCTTTAACTTTTTAACAATCCCGTATAGCTAGATATTGAAGCTGCCATTTCTTGGTTACAAACCAATGCCAGAGCTTTGAATCCAAACTTTCAAAAGGGTTTCCCTAGRAAACTTTATTAGAATTTGCCATAGTTTTAATTTAGATACACTTTATTTTTCCTTTTGGCCTGAAAAACATTCCTGACTGAAGCAACCTGACGTGTTTGTGCAGGGAGCCTTTAGGCTGTCACATGACTGTGCCAAATCTGCCTGAGTGAATAAAAGGGCACAGTCTTTTGTCCTTTTCTTTTAGGTGTTTCCCAGCTTCACAATAGATCAGTACAACTGACAGTTTAGTTACATCAAATACATAAAAAGACAAAAAATAATGGTTAAGAGAAGTATTGTCCCTAAAAAATTTTCCAGCATGTTCAGCAAAACGTATTTTTGCTTCACATTTTTTTCTAAAGAAAAATGCATTAGCAACCATTTTTTCTGCATCTTTCTAGGCTTTATTATGTAAGTTTGCAAATGCTAGGACCTTTGACTGAGGAAGATGAGCAATAAAATTCTTTATCAAGTTATTCTGAACTGTAGTAACCTGAGCCCACCTCAAGAGTTTGAGGAAGAGATTTTAACCAGAACTACATCAGTATAGCATTAGATAATAGTAGCATAAAATATGAATGAGCTGAGAACTCCAGCAGGTAGAATTAATACCTCCCTCAATCCAAACTCAAAAAAGAATAAATAAATCGTGGTTATTTTTCTTACTTTTGGTAGCCATTGCATCCTGTAGCTAACTCAAGTGTTCTAGGTATAAGTAGGAGTGTTCTACTTAATTCTACTTGAGCAACACGAAGAATCCCCCACCACCATTCAACTACGCAAAACTTGATTCCTCTACACTTATACTGTCTTTGGAAAATACATTGGATTAAAGGAAAATCCTAAGGAAGATGAATAACTTAAGAATGAAAAGATAATGCTAAAAACCAAACAAATGAACAAAATACTTGACAAACAAAAGAAGAATATTGTTATATGTTTAGTTCTTAATATTAACGTGTAAGTTAATGAACCTATCTTCTGTAAGGATGTACTACACTGTGCCTAAAGCTTTACCTTTAATAACCACCTAGGCAAAGGAAATATTCCAGTAAAAGTTGTTTTACATTCCTGGGCAAGACAGAGCAAAGTAAATATCCACAGAGAGGTCATGTTGATTCCAGATGAACTCACACGTTCCCACTTCCACAGGCGTGCCATCAAAGCACCCAAGGAGCGAGAACCCTCTGTGTGTGACCTTGCAGGGGGAGGGTGAAAGGCAAATGAGCACAGCACGCTGCAGGGAGCTCTCATTTTGGGAAGCATCACTGGGCAGCTCTACCTGCCTCTGCACAGCGAGGAAACAGCAGAAGCACAAAGCACCACAAAAATGAAGATTTTCTACAGACAGCTGAAGATGTCTGGCTATTACCAGCAGCTCATTCCATCAAGTTTTTCCCTTTATAGGCACAAACAGAAAAATCCCAGCCTGACCAATAGTATATCTATAAACAAGCAACAAACCAGGCTTTAGGGAGCCTTTATTTTTTCCTCTCCCTCCAGTAAAGTTAAACAAGAAGTGCCCCTTCATGACTGACTTGATATGAATCCACCACAGTAAGATGGACTGTGTGGAGACAGCCAGCACCTGCATAACAAGGTGAGTTACAGAACACCATCAAACATCTCCCAACAATTCACAGGAGTCAAAAGCAGTTTTGGTGGTACAAAAGTAAATGCTCCAAATGACACCAAAATAATGCTTTCCTGGACAACATTCACCAGCCATATTTCTATAAAAGTAACCAAAGTCCTCATGGGAGGTAACCCAGAGGTGGGGAATGCTGTTCAGTACTTTGGCAGAAGAAAAGCTGCTGGAGACATGTTCAGACTGTGTTGCCACAGGCCCTGTACAAACACCCAAGGACTCACTTCCAAAGCAGGTGCTGGGGASCAGCAAGGGMACCYTGGACTCAGCTGAACTCCTAGAAGRTGRATGCGTGTCTGTGGCACTGGTAGTGGGCACAATGGTATGCAAAGGTAAGTTACATCAGACCTCCAGCCCAAAAAACATATTTAAGACACTGCCTGGACACAGCAGTTCTTGCAGTATCACTTGGCTTTAGTTTCAGACATTACATGGCCTGATGCGAGACCTGGCCCACAGGAGGAATGCCTTGATGGSTTCAGAGCCCTTCAGTGCCAGAAGAAGCTCCACTGCACTGGACACACTTCTCCAGTAATAATATTTATTATGCAGCCTGCAAAAATTCATTGTTTTTATCCCATACACCAAAATACATCAGTGCACGTGCACAGCAGGCCATAACATTTGTTTATTCATCGCCTTACAGCCCCCCAGAACACCAAAGAAACTCACTTCTTGCTGGGAAGGGAGGTAGGTTTTCTTTCATTCACTGTTTCTGGCACACTCTTTGGTTCATCGCTGAGCCTGCACACAGGCTGCCAGGGCAA